GCATAGACCTGCATGTATAAAAATTCAACTTAGTTGCAAGACTAAAAATAAAGGAAAATGAGAAATCAAGAGAATATACTTATTTGACAGCTAATAGAATAGAGTTCGTCAAGTTCATAGTAAAAATATAAGCAGTAGAAGAACAGGCTGAGAACATGAGCAGACAGTGACCAATAAACAGAAAAGACACCCATCCTACTGATAATTAGTGAAATGAAAACAAAACAACAAGATATTTCTGGTCTTTTTAAATACTAATGATACTGATAATCTGTGCTGGCAACCTTCCTTGTTAAGGAAATGCAAGTGGTTTTTGGATAACATTTTGGCAACAACAGACTCTTCAATGTGCATATGCTTTACTCAGTAATTTAACTTCTAGAAACCACTGAGAAATATACTATACAAGCAAGTATGCCCAATTCCTTGCAGGATTGTTTATGTGGGTGAAAACTCGGGCATGTGCTAAATGCTTATCAGTGAATCTATCAGGTCCTGGTGCCCAGCCAGAGGCAGTCTTCTTCCTCCACCCCAAGGGGCCAGTCTCTCCCCACCCCGTACTTGTAGCAACCAAAACTGTCTCTAGACATTGCACAGAGGCTATTCTATGAGGATGAGGTAATGGAATCTTTAACAGGGGTGCTGGGTTAATTTGCTTGGAAACAGCAGATTCCAGCCAGAGTCAGGAGCTATCTAATCCTTCTTTCTGCCTGCCCTCTGCCAAGCCAAGCCATTCATGGACCTGCCAGTATTTTCAAGTGTAGTTTTCAGCACCAGCTCATCATCCATGACTCTTGGCTTTTTTTTTTTTTTAGCAAGCCTGGCTTTCATCTCCTCCTGGCCTCTTCCAGAAAAGCCTCTTAGCACTAGGTCTGGACTTTTGATGTTAGCTTTCATCAGTTCCTCCTCCTCCACCTGCCTAGCTGTCTCACTGAACACCATCAAGGTCATGACGGGCAGGGTGGAATGGAATGACACCAGTATCCAGCCCAGGGAGCCCAGGGACACCAGAAAGCTGTCTGGTAATATCTTCAACCAGGCACAAACACACTCAGTGGCTCAGACGGCCACAGCACAAAGGCATGGGCCTGCTGAGGGACTATTCCCAAGCACAGGCGATACATGACAGGGTCTCTGTGAGCACATTAGCCTCCTCACCCCAGCTAGGGAGAGAGCATCTCCAGGAAACTGCTTTTGGGGATATTTCCAGAAATTTAAAAATTTTAAACCTCAAAACTCCATTTCTTCCTGGAGAGACCCTCACCCAGCTGAGAACCTGTGCAAACACATGACTTCCTGGCTGCGGTGTCCCCTTGAGTGTGGACCTTGGGGCTCACTTGTGGCATTTTCAGCTTGCTTCATCTGCTGTGAAATTGAAGCACACACTGCCTTCCCCAAAAGACTCACTTCTGGTGAGGATTCGGATAGAGAGGGAGCTGGATGGCACCCAAAGGAACAAGCTGGTCCTGTGGAAGCATCATGTCCTGTCATTTCCCCATCAGAAGCACCCCTGTCTGCCCCCAGACAGCCTGCCCGCCTCCCCACCCTGACACAGCTGCCTTAGCTGGTGTCTGTCAACACAGGCAGGCTTGTGGGTTTACTTTTATTTATTTATGTTTTTCTCCAGCACTGGGGATTGAACCTACAATCTTCACACTGATCACATCCCTAGGCCTTTTTACCTTTGTGAGACAGAGCCTTGCTAAAGTCCCCCTCCTCCCTAAGCCTCCCAGAGTGCTGAAATCACAGGGAGCTCCACAGCGCCTGGCTTGGGTTCCCTTTTTTAACTGGGAATGGGAGGGTCTGAGGGCTGAGTAAGAGGCGGGGACGTGAACACCCCAGGCCTTTTCTCCTTCAGTTTCTTGTGGTTTTTTTTTCCTTCTGCTTTGTCCTTCTGGTTGTTGCTCCTTGACTGTTGATCTGAATGTTTCGGGATCAGTAGTTACTACTGGCCTCAGAATTCCTGAAAAATTTGGTAGCAATCAGTATGTGTGCGAGTGTGTGTGTGTGTGTGTGTGTGTGTGTGTGTACACATGTATGTGTGCACTAAAATCTAACTGCTTAACACTAGTATGAGTGAGTCCTTGGGCGAAAGGAAGCTTTTAGGAGCATGCCTAAGCACACACCGTGTGCTGAGTTAGGTTTTCTAAAATGAGGCTTTCCTGAAGAACAATGCCTGGTGAGTGGCCTTTGGCCAAGGGGACAGAATTTAGGAGTCCTTAGTTCCTAAGCAGGAGTCCCTGAGAGGTGAGAGAGGGTCTGTAACAGTAAGTACTCCCTGCTGCACAGTACTCAGCCCTGGATGCCCGGAGGGGCAAGACCTGCCCAGGTCCCTTTTGTTTTGGTCTCGAGAAGCCTCCCCATCCCTGTGTCACTGTGCAGAAAGGGCCCGCTCTCTCTCTCAGGAATAATTACAACAGTTGTTTTAATTTTTGCATGAAATTAGGTGCAGAATTGCCTTTCAGTTTATCATAGAGCATAATCCTTGCTCCAACTAATAAATCATCTGCTTTAAGACAGGCCTGGAAAAAAGACACCCCAGAGCACAAGGGTATCCGTGGAGGACTGTAGAGACCCAAGGACCTCCCTAAATGAAGGAGGCCTGAAATGGGGCGTGTGCACACTCTTGAGGGAGGCAAAGTCTCCTTCACAGCCTTAACTCAGCTCCAGGTGTGAGCCAGTGTATTACCATGGCTGGCTGACTGCAGAGGAACCGAAAAGGTGCAACCACTCCCATGGCTCATTAGCAAAGGAGAATACGCAAATGTCCAGGGTCCCTTGTGTCAGGATCACACTTTTCTGTTTTTATCTGTTAAACGGGGCACCCCTCAGGCCCACTCCAAAGCGTTTAGCCAAGAGACTTTGTTTCCTTTTTACTCCATTACTGTACTGAGGACTTTTGACACAGTGTTAGAAATAAGAAGGTAGAAGCCTTTTCATCTTAACCTTTTTGGAATTCATTTTACGATTTGATTCTCATTGCTGACATTTTTTATAGCAGTATTTTTCAACAGCTGTACAATAGTTTGAGGGCAAGAATTCTTTATTTGAAGAGTTTAGAGGGTTTTTTTATTTGGGGAGCTTAAATACTAGTAGCACAACTCTCCCCAGTAGTGGCAAACAGAAATGCATGCAGACATTGCCAAATGTCTTGTAAGATGCAAAATCAGTCATGGATGTGTGCACACACAGAATCACTGGCATATAGGAAAGACGCAAAATAAAATAATATTTGTCCTAGATTTGCTGTGCTTTTAAAACAGATCCTAAAATTGTGTACATTAATACCTGTGGTTTGGTCTGTTGCCTTGGTGAAGTGGGTGGAGTTTTGCCTTTTTGAAAGGCCTTCATACAAATTTTGGAGTCTTCTCTCTTGAAGTCTATTCTCCCATCATATTCCTATGTTGCAGTATTATGTACCTGACCTATTTATCCAATGATTGCTTATTAATTCATTAATTCTGCACACAAATTCATTCAGTCACGCAGCAGTATTTCTGGGGCAGCTCTCCGGGTGCCTTGGGGTGAACAAGCAGCATCTCAACCAGGATTCCACATCCACTGCTCTTCGATTGCTTTGTGATGAGCTTAAACTGAAGAAGGAAGAGGTGTGTTTCATGTGGAGGACTGCAGAAAGCCATTCCTGGACCTCTTGTTTTTGTAAGCCCAGAGAAAAGTTATTGGAATTCCAAAAAGTAATTCCAGTCTACGTCTTCTAGGGTAATCCACAGTGAGAATAAAGACACTAAGACATATTTGTACCTGTGGGGAGCTAAGGGAGTTATAAATCCAGCTACAACAATGGCTAACCGGAACGACCCAGGACGCAACCCAGCTTTTATTAATTTGGGAAGAGGGGAGTGGTCCAGGGATGGGTGACTGTGGCAGGAAGTACATGAGCGCTGTGAGCTGCGCTTGTAGGAGGACTGAAATCAGCTCTGCAATATGCAGAGAGAGAGATGCAGAAAGAGTCATCTGCATGTCAGAGATTGGGGCAGTATCTACTGTTCTGGGCTCAGCGCTTCAGTTTTGATGTGGAATCATAATGCCCTGAGAAATCACAGCTTCTTTCTCAAAGCTCAGTCCCAGACGACAGGGTGGCATCACTCTGCCTAGCTCACGAATACTACTTGGGAGTTATAGGAGGAGCATCACTGACCTGCTGCATTGCTTCAGAGACTGCACGTGGGCACCTTGGCCTGACCCCCATTGCTTGAAGCCATTTGAAGGGATAAGGAAATACCCCAGCCAGCTTTGTGCACATCAGTAAGGGAGCCAGGGCCAAATTCTCTTCTTTCAAGGAGAGCCACCCAGGTTGTCCCCCACAGAGGAACATCATCTCTGGAGTCAGACAGGCCTGAATTCAAATACATCCCTACAGTTTACAAGCTGAGTAGCTTCGGACTACTTACGGAATCTGTGTGCCTCTGCCTCCCAGAGGAAAACTGGGTTGATTTTGACTTCCTAGCAAGAGTTTCTGCAAGGCCTCAGGGAGATCACATGCACCACATCTCACATCACTATGCAGGGTAACTTCTTTCTACTGCCTGCCGACTGGTAGGTTGTAATGAGTGAGTTGCCATTGGTAGTCTAAAGCAGACAGACATTGGCCCCCTCATATAGCTCATCCCAGTGTGTAACCCCGGGTCTAGCATCACACTTCCCTCTTCTCTTTCCGCTGTGGAAGTCAGCAAGTAGATGGAATGGTTCTGCTTTGTTGTGTTTCTGTTCCTGCTCTTCTCCGCGAGCACCCTGTCAGTGCAACATAGCAAACTTGAGAGAGGACTCAGCATTCACAACCAGCATGTGATTCAAAGCTTGGTGTAGGTGAAATGGTACTCTCTCTACCTCCCAGCCAGTTTGTGTAGAAATAACCTGAATTGTAGCAGTTTGTCAATTCTGGCCTGCCAGGAGGATGCTCGGTTGGCTTTCTTTTGTTTGTTCCCCAAGTGCCCGTCTTGAAAAGGCATTTCTCTGATATCGCTGTGTTTGCATCTCAGGTCATTCTGCTGATTGCCTTCATCTGTGTGCAGAACGCCTCGTGGACGGACTACAGTGCCTACACTTACTTTGAAGTGGTCACCATGTGCGACTTGATAATGATCCTCATCTTTTACCTGATCCACCTCTTCCGCTTCTACCGTGTGCTCACCTGTATCAGCTGGCCCCTGTCGGTAAGGGATGCAGCCCTGCTCTTCCCAGGCAGAAGCCTAGGCATTGGCTGGACACTAGACCAGTGGAGCCCTTCCTGCCTGCTATCCCCGTCCTGAGCCATCACTGGTGCTTCAAAACTCCCAGCTAGCTGCAAGGAAACTGGGCCTCTTGTCTCAAGGCTTATTTTCTCAGAATGGGCTGTGTGTGTGTGAGAGGGAGGAGGAAATGGAAGGAAAAGCTGGAATGGATGATGGGCATTTCTAGTGTGGCAAGGGTTGATGGACATTGTTTGGAGGCTAAAAAGTACTGGCCAGGGCTGAAGAAACAGATCGAAAGTTGCCAAGTTTTTTCTTGCAGCTGTATTATTTTGTTTTTTTCCCATTGTGTTTTGTTTTGTTTTTGGTACCAGGGATTAAACCTTGCGCTTGCCATGCAGTCGCTTATACCACTGAATTACATCTCCAGCCCAATATTTTCTTTTTTTTTTTCTGTCTTTTTCCTTTTTATTGGTATCGGGGATTGAACTCACGACTGCCTGCTTGCAAGGCAGGTGCTTATGCCACTGAGCTAAATTCCCAGCCCCAAGCCCAATATTTTCTTAAACACGGTCTTGTTCACATGCCATGGCAGTCACCAACTGGAAGTTTATAATCCAAAACATGTTAGTGTATTTTGAGTCGTGCACACATCACCTGTTACTTATAGAACACTTCTATCATCTCAGACAGACATGTCGTCCCCTTTAGCCATCACTTCCCTAATGTTAGTCTCCTCCAGCTGTAGGTAACCACTGATCTACTGTCTACCTCTAAAATTTTCCTACTTCGGACATTTCATGGAAGTGGAATCATATATGCAGTCTTTTGTGAGGATCAGATTGTTTTTAACAGGATGTTTTCATGCTTCATCTGTGTGGGGCGTGTATCGTGCTTCTTTGTTTTTTTTTTTTTTTTTTTTTTTTTTTTTCCTGTTTGAGACAGGGTCTCACTGTGCAGTTCAGGCTGGCCTTGAGCTCACTTCATAGTCCAGGCTGGCCTCGCACTCATAATGACCCTCCTGCCTCAGTCTCCAGAGTGTTGGGATTACAGGCATGTGACACCAGGCCTGACTTTTCATTCCTTCTTCTAATCAGATAATATTCATCTGTATGGTTATACCACATTTTGTTTTTCATTCATTGATGGACGTTTAGGCTATGTTCACTATGGGGCTCTTAGGAATAATGCTTCTATGTACATTCATATACAAGGTTTTTTGTGTGGACATTTATGCCAAAACTACACTAAATTGATTATTATAGGTTTGTATTAAGTTGTAAAATTAGGAAATGTGAGCCTTCCCAATTTTTGCCTTTTCCGGGATGCTTCTGAGTCATGGAAATTCTTTGTGAATTTAGAATTAGCTTTTGGATTTCTGCAAAAAAATCAGTTGGGGTTCTAATCGGAATTGCCTGAACGTGTAGGTCTGGGACCACTGCTTTATTACCTGACAATCTGAGAACATGAGAGGTTTCTCCATTTATTTATTCTCCCTTCATTTTTTTCAAGGATATTTTATAGTTTTCAGAGTACTTTATTCTTTTTGATGCTATTTCAAATGAAATTTTTCCTTCATTTTCAGATTGCTCATTGCAAGTGTGTAGAAATAGAGTTAATTTCTATATTCTGATTTGTATCCTGAATCTTACAGAATTCCTTTTCTTGGTAGTAGATTTTTGGTAGAATCCTTAGGGTTTTTCAGGATGATATAGGAAATCATCCTGAAACAAAGATCATTTTACTTCTTCCTGGCTAATCTGGGATGCTTTTATTTCATTGTCTTGCCTTATTGCAAGACCAAAGATTGAATGTTGAATAGCAGAAGCAGGCATAATTATCTTTCTCCATCTTCTGTCATTCATACGATGTGAGGCATGAGCTTTTATAGACTGAGGAAGTTCCCTTCTAGTTCCACCTCACTGTGTGCTTTTGTTATGAAAAGGGGCTTTAGATCTTGTGGATGTGGTTTTTAATCCAATCTGACAACCTCTGCCTCTCGGTTAGAGCCTTTTACCATTCCTGTTTAACATTATTGCCCACTGCTCCTTTGTGGCTCATCTATTCTAAGACTCTTTTCACATTTCTGTTTTTTTGGAGAATGAGCTCTTCTGGGCTTCCCTGATGCTGATAAGAACAGGCAAATATGAAAATGGAATCTTGAGGGCGGGAGCAAAGAGGCCTGGCTGGGTGCGGGAAAGCAGGCCCAAGCAGGCTTTTTAGCTGGGTATTGTTGAAGTCTTCCAGTTAGGATTCTCTCAAGTCATTTTCCTCTCTGCGGGTAAGAATGTTGGAGGAATTTCCTTGTGATCTTCCTTATAACACTCTTCTTGGGGCACTAAGGAGAAACCAGGTCTTTGATTTTGCACAGTGTAGGGAGGAGCTGCAGCTTTGATATGGAAAGGGTAAGCTGGGTGTGGTGGTGCCCATCTAGAAAGCCAGCACTCTGGGAGGCTGAGGCAGGAGGGTTGTAAATTCCAGTCCAGCATGAGCGTTTTAGTGATAGCAAGAAGTGTCTCAAAGAGGCTGGGGATTTAGCTCAGCGGCATAAGCGCCTGCCTTGCAAGCAGGTGGCCGTGAGTTCGATCCCCGGTACTGATAAAAACGAAAAAGACAAAAAAAAAAAAAAAGAAGTGTCTCACAATAAAAAATGAAAAAGGACAGGGGACATAGCACAGTGGGAAGGCCCTGAGTTCAATCTCCAGTACCAGAAAAAAAAATTCTTTCCAAAATAGAATAACTGCTACTCAAACCGCAGAATTTCATGGAGGCACGCACACAGGAGAAAAAAAGAGGGAAACACGAAAGGACAAACCAGGCTGACTTAGGAAAACCAGCTGCCCCAGCACCCCACAGACACCTCGCACACATGCTGCCGGCTGCATGCTAGGCTCTGACCCTGAGTCTGAGGGGTCCCAGGAACCCGTGACCCTGCAGCCTACAGCTGGGGCCACTGACAGAGTGGAGAGGTGCTGTGGTCAGCCACACATTGGGAGCCTGGAGCTTCCTCTGAAGCAGAGAGAAAAGCCCACATCCAAGGTTATGCTTCTCCATTTGGATCCATAAAGCAGTTTCCTTTCCTCATTACCCTGGAAGGTACAAGAAGCTCCTTCGCTTGCAGCAGCTTTAGCCAGGGTCGAGGCACTGTCTGCAAACTGACCTCAGGAGTGGGGCAGCCCTTAGCAGATGAGCCGCTCCCCGGGAAGCTTCCTTGCTCCGTCTTCTCTCCCCTTCCTGCCTGCCCCATATCTTTGCTCTGATGCGTGGCCTCTTCCTGGTTAGTCCTCTGGCTGCCGTGCTGCTCCTCCTGCCCGGGTATTGTGAGGGAGAAGAGGCAGTGTCCTCCCTCCCCTTCTGACCGTCCCTTCAGATGCCCAGCTGCTCCCTTAGGGCCTGGCCTAGACCTCCCTACTCACCGCTGTGCTTTGTTTCCGCCCCAGGAACTCCTGCACTATTTAATCGGCACCTTCTTCCTCCTTATTGCCTCCATTGTGGCAGCCTCCAAGAGTTACGACCAGAGCGCACTGGTAGCTGGAGCGGTAAGGATTGTCTCAAGGCTTTAGGAACCCATTAGTATTTCAGATGCTCATTTTCTTCCTGATGGAGACAGAAAAGGGATTGACTTCTGGGGTCTTTCATAGAATCCAGTATTCACCCCAACCCAGGCAGAAGCTGGCTCCAAAGAAGCGGACACTTCTGCCCACAGCAGCTAGTTCCAGGGGTACTGTTAGGACCTTTGGCAAACTCACACAGCCCAGGAGCTCAGGCCTCTCTCTTACAGCATCACTTAGATCGAGGGTGATGGGGTTCTAATTCACACAGCCACTCTGCACAGAAAGCGGTCATCTAGCTTAAGAGGTGAGGGCAGGGCACATGAAACAATTAGCAAACATGGCATTGTTGACTAGAATAGCATTCTGCAGTGATACAATAATAAACCATTTAATTATGCAGTGAGAGGCCAGGACAGGCTTAATAGACTAATTATGTGGTGCACACAATCGGTACAAAGGGAGCCAAGGAAAAGGCACTCAGGGTAGAAGTAGGCGTGGGCGGGGTGGGAGCAGCGCTGTGTGTGAACCAGCAGCCAGGCTTGAAAAGCAAAGCAAACCTTGTGAAATCCTGCCCTTCTGCTGGCTGCTCCTGGGCCATGCCGGTAGGATGACAGCTGGTCACTTGGCCATGCATTAGTGGGAGTGTGGTGTGCTCTGGGCCCGAGGATACCTGGAATGCAGTCTGCAGAGCAAGGACTCTACAGCCAGGGCCCTGGGCTCACACCAGGTGTAGCTGTCCCTGGCTCATTCTGTGGCCATGGACATGGAGCTGACTGCCATCTCTTGATTTGTGTAGTTGCAAAATGAGAAGGAGGGCAGAGTTGGGAAGTCCAAGGAGTCAGCCACCTATGAGGTTAGTGTTCAATGGGTTTTACCCGCCAGTGCTGGGCATTGGTGCCGAGTGTGAATCCTGGCTTCTCTCTGCTTATTCTCCTCCTGGTTCCCACGGGCCCAGGCTCCCCATGACCATTCAGCGAGCTGTGCGCAGGGCCTGCTCCTGTCTAAGGCCCCTGTTCTTCCTCTTTGGGATGAGCTTGAGCCAGCCTAAGTCAGCTTCCTCTCACTCAAAGCACCTGGTGGACCCTAGGGAAAAAAACATCACCATCATTCGTTTTAGGCTCATATTATTTAAAGATGTGCAAACATAAAACTAGATATACAGGCCCCAGCCTCTGGCCCTTACACAAGAAATATGTGAAGCCCAAATTAAAAAACAGTCCAGTGGGTTGGACCCAACTCAGTTGTGAATCTAACCCAAGCCTGGCACTGGGGTTGTCCGGAGTGGGAAGGGCTTTGGGTGGACACCCGGGTACGAGGCCTGAAGTGGACAGAACCCAGGGGACCAGAGCCTGGCAGTTGGGCTTCCATACCTGAGCGAGGTTGAAGCAGTTAGATCAGAGGACTCCCAAGCTTCCTTCCAGCAGCAAATAGGATGGGGCAAGCACACAGATGAGAAGCAGGCAGGACTGCCCAAGGGTGGACTCGGCGGCCTGCAAACTTCTGTTCCACACACTTTTGCAGGTCTTCGGCTTCATAGCGACCTTCCTCTGCTTGGCGAGTGTGTGGCTGTCCTACAAGATCTCCTGTGTGACCCAGTCAACAGGTGAGTGCCCATTATCCCTATGCAGAGGACCTGCTGTCCTGGGCTTGTGCCGTAGGGGCCCCTGTTGTGGAGGAGACGGGGTACGTTATCGTGTTAGAGCACAGGATCCAGCGAAAGGAAAGATGGAACCCAGAACCCTTTCTCCAGTCCGCAGCTCTCCAAGCCCAAGGGTATCCTGGCACTTCAACCTCTGATAGGAAAGCATTTTCTTGAAATAACTTTCCTAATGACAGAAACAAAACCTAGAGCTTTTAGAATATACAAGTAATATTTTTGCAAAATTAAAAAAAATTAAAAATAACAAACATCTAAAAATAAAGTTATCAATATTTGTATAAATGCATTATTTAAATGTATAGAAAAATTGCCAAAGGAAGCACAAGTGAAGGAATAGGAAGACGTGGACAGAGTGACCACCAGTATCCCCTCTGCACTACTGAAAATCTTTCGGTCTGTTTTAGAACTATGCTTAAGAAAAATAAGACAGGGCCAGTGAAATTCGGTGCTAGGTAGGGGAAGAACTGTGCAAAGCAAAAGTCGGGGAGCGGCCAGGGCTGTGTGGGTGGGCTCCCTCCTGCAGGCTGACCTGACTTTACTGCTTCCTTCCCAAGATGCAGCCATCTGATGTGACTACTGCGCTAGCCCCCTCCGGAGGACCTGCAGGACAGGAGGCCCAGCAGCCAGGAGAATGAGTGGCCCTGAGCAGCTCTGGACCGTGTTCCTGTGCCAAAGTCCTGCTCGGGCTGGTGGGCTCCAGGAAGGCCTGCACCTTCCTCCTGCTTTGGCGACTCCTGCCCCCCGAGCTCCTGAGCTGGGCAGAACCTCTCCCTGTAGGCATCCTCAGACGACGGTCCTCCTCCCCTGGGAAAGGAAAGCAGCCCGCAGCACGTGGCCTTCAGTCTGCTTTCTAACCACCTCGGGTACTGATGAGCCCTCCTCACACACTGCAGGCTCCTGAACCCTCCGCATAAATCCGCTTCTCTTTCCTATTCCGCAGGGGTGTGGAGCTGCCCCAGATTCTCCCAGAACTCTCCTGGGTGGGCTGGACGGTCTGTCCAGGAAAGACCCTCTTTCTTAGGGCGGGCCGTGCCTGCAGGAACACACGGCAAGCCTGCTGGCTCCTCTCTGCCTGTGTTACCATCGTGTGTATATCTGTGTGTTTTTAAATAAAATACTGGCCACTGGCAGAAGGTGTTCCTTTCAAACAAACAATGTGCAAAACCAGGCCTTGAACCCCGCGCTCTGTGAGAACTCCTTGCTAAACGGCTAGATTTGTTTTGTTTTGTTTGGGGGTAACGGCAGTGGAACTGCATTTTAGGTGAATTTGTGCAGTTTTAAATTTATATTTGCATCCTTCTGCAGCATGAACTTGCTCAATTTAGAAGGGCTTTGGATGAAGCTGTGTCATATTTATATCATGACGAGCCATCTTCTTGTCCTAAATTTGCTGTTTCCCTGCCTGGCTGGCTAGAAAAGGAGGAGCAGTGCTGCAGGCAGCTGCTGCCCAGCGCTGTGTGTGTGCGCAGCACCTTCACGGCCGCGGTGGCCGCAGTTCCCATGCCTCTGGGCGGCCTGCAGCACCATCTTTAGAGATGACCCACTGACTAGAGGCCGGCAGGGAGGGTTAGGATTAGATGACTTTGGGTTTCCTGGACCTTACCCTGGAAGTCAGCACTGAGACAGCTTTCAGCAGGATCCTGGGACCCAGTGTGGACACAGGACAGTGATGCGTCCATGGGTAACACAACCACAGCACCTGGCATCCTGGCGGTGTGGCAGGTCCCAGGGAGTGAGACAGAGGAGTGAGACCAGAGCCTGCTGGCCCCTCCTCACCTGGTGAAGGAATTCATGGGCTGCATAGCAATGACCTTCACACCCTGGGCTCCTCCGGCTCCATTAGCTCCAGGGGCTGCCCAGGCACCGAGGGATATTCTAGGAGCCAGGCCGGCACCCTGGAGTCCTTATCACCTTGGCAAGCCACACAGCTGCCCATGGTTCACAGCCTCTGAACCCAGGTGTTTATTGATTTACCACTGTACCCTCACTGTACCCTGTTGCCTCTCAAGCAACTGAGGTGTAGCAGATCTGGGTTGGGAGTCAGAAATTGCCTAAGCCTGCCCGCAGAGCCATCCAGCCACATGGCCATTAGAAATGCAAGGTCTCGGGCCCATGGACACCAGCAGCTGCAGGGCCCCTGCTGTGTAGCGGAGGTGTGGGTGGTGTGTGCATGTCAAAGCCTGTGATACGAGGTTGGGATCAGAGATGCCCTTGGCTGGGTGCAGATGTAAGGACTTCATTAGTGAGGAAGGGGATGAGTGGTGTCACCTAGTAGATGACTGAAGTTTCTTGTTGCTGGATCCATGGCCACATCAGGAGTAAGACTTACGAATCACCTCCCTTATGTATGCATGTGACAGGATTGAACCCAGGGCCTCCCCAGTAACCTATATCCCCAACCCTTTTTAAAATTTTCTTTTTTGAGACAGGATCTAAGTCACTAAGTTATCCAGGTGGGGGCCAAAGTTTGAGATCCTCCTGCCTCCCAGACTACTGGTATGATAGACATGTGACACCACGCCAGCTGATGGCCTTTTCAAATCCACCCCATGGTTCCCCGGGGAGCATCATTGTTGGTGGCCTTGAACCTGCAGTCCTCCTCCCTCATCCTCCAGCATGCTGGGATTATAGATGTGCACCATCAACCCTGGCCACCAGAATTTTTAAAGCAACAATACAGGAACTACTGTCTCAAGGTCTCAGGAACTGGAAAAATAAGAATTATAACCAACCCAAAGCCCCAAACCACAGAGACGCACACACAGCTAAGCATTCTGAGTCACAAAGAACCCAATCTGTGGATGCATTTGTCCTCCATAAGCCAGGCCCTGTGAGGCCGCTCAGTCTGGGCACAAGCACCTTCGTGCAACAAAAACCACTGGCTATCCAGCTTGGGCACAGCCCAGCCAGGCAGGTCAGAGAGGATGTTCCAGAAGGGGCCCCACCCACCAAGCCTCCCACCCAGCCCCAGGAAAAGGCCTTTGCAGTCATGGCTCCTGGGGTACTGCAGCCTGAGGCCACAGCCAGCCCCCTCACTGCGCAGCCAGGTCTGGCCCTGCAGCCTCTGGGGCCTGGCAGAGCCCTGGGGAGGGAGAAATGGGGAGTTAGCAGTGTTACCCCAGTTTTCTCACAGCCCCATTGGGCAGGCACAAGAGGGGCTGGGGTTCCTCCCTCAGGGGCACTGCATGTGGCAACTGTGCCCCCCCCCCCCAAGAGCCCTGCCCTGAAGGTACCTGCAGTGAGGCTGGTGATGAGCCCAGGCCCAGCTGGTGACTCCAGAGCCAGCTGTGCCCTCTCACCTCCTCCCCAGGCAGCTGGCCCTGATGGCCACAGCCAGCCCTGAGGTGGGGGAAGGAGGGCTCAGAGCTGGCCCCTCCCCCTGCCACTCACCTGCAGCCTCTTTTTAGCAGGTGATGCAAACTTCTGCAGACAGGTACATAATACATCTTAATCTCTTTTTAAATCTCTTCCTTGCCTCCTTTTCTCCTCCCCATCCCTTTCCCTTCTTTGATACATTTGCAGCACATAAGGTTTTTATTTCTTGCGTGGAGCTGGTACAGATACATAACACATCCCAATTCCTTGTTTTAACCTCCCCTCCTCCATCTCTTGGGTCCCTAACCCTGTGAGGACTATCATTTCCCTGCTTCCCATTCGCTGTTTGTTTTGCTCTTTATACTCTGGGTTTTTCGTGGAAGAAAAATAATGTGTCTGATTTATTTCACTTAACATTATGGTCTCAAGGTGCATCCATGCTCCTATGAATGACTCAAGTTTATCCTTCTTTATGGGAGAGTATTACTCCAGCATGAATAAATACATTTTCCTTTCCATCCATCTGTTCATGGACAAATAGGCTGCTTCCAAGATTTAGCTATTATGAATTATGCTGCTGTAAACACAGGTATGTGTGTACAGCATTACTAGTTTTAGTGTGTTTTGTTCTGTTTTGGGGTTATTCGGTCTTTTTGAAGGTCTCACCTTGCAGTTCACGCTGGTCTTGAACTCATTTTGTAGCCCAGGCTGCCCTGGAACTTGAAGTGATCCTCCTGCCTCAGCCTCCTGAGTGCTGGGATTATAGATGTGTGCCACCATGCCCAGCCCTAGTTTTAGTTTTTCTGAAACTAAATCCGTAATGATTTCCACTCTGTACTAGTTTACATTTCCACCAACAGTGTAGAAGTCTATTACTATTTGCTTTCTTAATGGTAGTCATTCTTTCTGGGGTAAAAATCTCAGTGTTTGAATTTGCCTTTCTCTAAAGGTTATTGATGTTCATGTATTTAATGGCCTTTTGTACCTCTTCAGTTAAGTGTGAAGTGTCATTTCACTTGCCCATTTTTGTCTGAGTCTTTTATTGAGGGGTCCTAACTTTTTTCGGTTCTTTTTATATTTTAGATATTAGTGCTCTGCATGAGAAGTCACCAGCAAAATTTTTTCCCGTTCTGTAGGTTGTCTTTTCACTTGGTTGTTTCTTTTGCTGTGCCTGTTAATTTAATATGCTCCCTTTTGTTGATTCACAGAACTATTTCCTGGGCAACTAGGGCTCTTATCTATCTCGTCTTCCAGCAAGTTAAAGGTTTTTGGTTTAACATTTAGTTTGTTGATCCATTTTGATTTTAATTTAGTATATAGTGAGATATAAGTGTAGATTCAATATTCTACATGTGGGTAGACAGTTTTATGGATTGATTTTATAGGTAAATGTTATTAATGTAAGTTAATAAATAAGAGCCATGCTGTATTTCGTGTTTTATGTAATTAAATTTCATGTATGATTTAGGTTGAAAAGAGGATTTTTCCACTTTATTTTGTCTTTTTCCTTTTTATCGGTACCGGGGATCGAACTCACGACTGCGTGCTTGCAAGGCAGGCATTTATGCCGCTGAGCTAAATCCCCAGCCCCGATTTTTCCACTTTAAAAAAATATTTAGAACCAGGCATGGTGGTGCCCACCTGCCATTCCAGCTACACCGAAGGCAGAGGCAGGATTACAAATCTGAGGCCAGCCTGGGCGATTTAGTGAAACTTTAGTTTTCACTAAAGGAGTGGGAGCACCCTGGGACTTCATTCCCAGGACTGGAAACAAACAGAAAACGAAGTCCGGTAACCACTTTGAAGGGAAGGGCAGCACCCCGGTGGCCGGTCAGGGGCCACGGAGGGACTGTCTCAAAGAGATCACCCTAGCATGCGTGGTGCCTCTGGTCTCTGCAAACAGTCTGAGACAGCTGATGGACTGTTAAGGGTTTATTGTTCCTATGTATGTGGGAAACCAAGTAATAATAATAAATTTCATGCAGAGTTGTGCGGCTGCAATAATACTGACCCCTCCGCCGACCGAGGGGACCTGAGGGCCGAGTGCAAGCGGTCGGCACCAGGCTGCCAGCCGCTCCGGACCCTGTCCCCTGTCCCGTGGGGACCTAGCGTCCCCTTCTGCAGTTCTGAGGACATCGCCGGGCAGAAGGAAGTCAGGGTGGAGGCCCGGAAGGAGCCCTGGCCCCGTTGGGCTGCCAGCAGTTTCCTCCTGAAACCTGGGGCATCGTGGGGCGAGGCTGCCCCCGCTCCCCCCCCCAACAGCTGCACCTGCTCCCCCACACGAAAACAAACCCCACCTTGCAGAGCGCTCCCACCCTTAGCAGCTACCGCCCTCTGGCGGTCAATGGGGTGCACTACCGCCCTGTCATGACAGCAACCTATGCTTAAGTTACTTGCAACTGTTTCCCAATTTATCACGCCAACTTCTCTCCTCCCAAAGCAACCACCCGAAACCCCACTCATCGCATATTGTGTAAAAAACAGTGTGGCGGTTTTCTGGTTACCATGATTGGAGCAAGTATTTCTTTAATAGCGTCCTGTGCTAAGCCACTTCTGAATAGGGTTGGAGCCAGCCAACCAGGGACTGGACCATGAGCTGAAATAAACCCCTCAGAAATTCTGAGCATTACACTCACCCAGCCAATTCCAAACTTGCTCTGTTTTGCTTATCCTCAGCACAGAGCAGCAGAGGCCCCAACCAACCTACTCACTGGCCTAATCATAGAAGAGGCCAACACCCAGTGGGGAAGGTAAGCCTGGCGCTGGCAGCTCCAATGGGAAACAGTGGACCAGGCAGGACACTAGCTGCAGCAAGGCC